CCCCCCCCGACCCACCCTCACCAACGCCGCGCGTCTCGCCCCCCCCCAGGCGCGCATCCTCGCCATCTTCGACGACCTCGACACGATCCTCCTCATGATCCCGCTCAAGATCCTCGTCGTCGGCGCAAAGTGGGAGCTCGCCATCGATCTCACCATCATCATCTTCCTCCTCGTCGTCCTCTACGTCTTCCTCCACGCCGTGCGCATCCCAAACTCGTGGCAGTTCACCATGCTCTACGCCTCGCTCGTCACCATCTTTTGCGAGCTCCTCCACTTCTTCACGCACGACTGCCGCATCGACTCGGGCGAGAAGATCGACACGGTCCACCTCGAGGTCCTCCTCCCCGCCTTCACCATCGGCTGCATCGCGCGCGCCGGCCGGCACACAAACATGCCGCAGCCGGGCCGCGCGCTCGGCGACCGCTCCCACTCCTTCTTCATGCGGGCGAGGGCGACGCCGTCGATCATCGCGGAGCGCGTCTCGCGCATCGACGAGCACAAGGTGAACACGATCATCTCGGCAACTTTCATGCTCTTCGTCGGCCTCTCCATGCCGCCCCTCGTCGACGTCGACGACGGCGATGGCAGCCACCGCATGCTGGCGGTCGACGAGGGCTGCGGCGGCGACGAGAGCCACCGCATGCTCGCGGCCACCAAGTACAACGGCACCGACCCCTCCGAGGAGGAGACGATGGCGGCGGGCACGCTGATCTTCCACGTCGCGATGGTCTCCCTCCTCATGATCGTCGGCAAGATGTTCCCCTGCTGCGTCTACCGCGACGAGGCCAACTTCAAGACGCGCCTCGCGCTCTCGCTCGGCATGTGCCCGCGCGGGGAGGTTGGCGCCGGCGTGATCGTCATCTCGCTCGCCTTCGGGATCGAGGGCGACGCCATCTCGATCGCGGTCATCGCCCTCGCGGTGAACCTTATCCTCTCCTCCCTCTTCATCCTCGCCGTCAAGTCGCTCGCCGGCACCGAAGGGGAGGGCGTCGCGCTCGAAGCAAAGCCGACGGTGGGCGGAGCAGAGCCTGCGGAGCTCGACACGGTGGCGACCGCGTCCAACGGGTCGGCCGAAAAGGGCTCGGGCGAGCCCGGCGTGGGGTGGAGTCAGGAGGCCTAGAGCGGCCGCCCTGGGCAGCGACTAGGCGCCGCTGCGGCCGCGAGCCCGGCCGCGTGCTTGCTGCGCACCACCTAGAGGCTGCCCCCTCTGCTTTGTGTGCGCCCCTGTGGAGTTCCGTGGAGGAGTCAGAGAGGACTGAGGAGAGAGTTCGCTGCACACAGTCACACTGTAAAACCGCAGCTCCGTTTTGTGACACTCGTTGTCTGTGTGCGCAGCCGCCCCCCTCAATGAGTGTACATGTATAGCAACATATTTCTCAACTGCTCGCCGAAGAGCCCCCAAAACGACCTCTCTCTCACACACTCTCACAGCTCGGACTTTGTGTTTGCCCCCCCGCCCGGGCCCGCCAGCTTGCGCGCGCTCACAGCGTACACCGGATCGCTCCGCCCCGCGTGTGGCGAGAGGTCGACCCCCTCCGGGGGAGTGAAGCCGCCCGGCACCGAGTAGTGGAAGTAGGCGCCGCAAATCCAGAGGCGGGCGGGCTCGCTCGCCTCCCGCCACGCCGCAATCGCCTTGGTCGGAAACATCCGGTTGCTCCAGGTGAAGAGCGCGGGCCCGCCCGGCTTGAGCACGCGGTGGATCTCGCGGAAGACGGGCAGCGGGTCGGCGAGGTAGTCGACCGAGACGCTGCAGACGACGGCGTCAAAGCTCTCGTCTGCATACATGGGCAGACGAGGGTCCGCGTTGATGTCGTGCGCGTGGTAGTCGTGCAGCGCCGGGTTGGCGCGGAGCTCCTCCGCGTGCGCGCCCAGCCCCGAGACGCGAGCAAAGTGCCCGTCGGCCCTGTCGCGCCCGCGGCCCTCGGCTAGGTGCGACGTCCACGACGACATGAGGTCTAAGACCGCCCCTCCACGCGGCAGCTCCTGCGCATAGAGCTCTTGCAGCGCGGCGATTGCGCTCTCGTCAACGTGCTGCACGTTGATGCGCGGTCGGGCGTAGAAGCGCGTATCGGGCGTCTCGTCGAGCCGGGCGAGGTGCGTGGCCGTCAGCGGGAACGCGGCCGGCCAGGCGGGGCTGCTCAGCACCTCGGCGGCGGAGAGGCCCGTCTCCCACGGCCCGGGCTCGACACTGCTGGACGAGGAGGCCAGCGCCACGCCGACTGCAGCGGCGGCAACGGCAGCGGCGCCGCGCCAGCGGCTGGGGAGGAGAGACGTCGTGTTTACTGTGCCGTACGAAAGTCTGTGCTGCTAGGGACACGATCCCGGCGTGAACACGACTAACTGACGGATCCGCTCCTGACAGTGGCATGCACCGCGCTGCGGCGCGTGCCACTGTCTTTGTTTGAAGTAAAAAGTCGAATCAGAGCGGTGTCGGCGCTGTCCCGCGATTTTGTCCCCCGGACCGCCCGTCCGGCACCGCTCCGGGACGCACGCCGGCGAAGCACCATTAAGCTGCTGTACGGCCCCGGCATCGCCTCCCCTGGCTTAGCTAGACTGAGAGATATTGTGTATATGGTTGGTCTCTACAATATACTCACTGACACTGAACCTCCCAGAGCTCGTCCCGGTCCGCCACGGTCATCCTCGGCCTCCGGAGGGAGGGCCCCCGGCCGCGGCGCGGTGCGGCGGCGTCACAAATCCGACGGCAGAGCACCGGGACGCGGTCGGGCGATCTGAGGTCCAACTAGGCGTATGCATTGCCCATCCAGGGCTATCACCTGGACCTATCAACAGGCGCCTGCGGCGCCGTGCTCAGGAGCTGCTGTTCACAGCTGCACAGACTTTAGTACGGCACAGTACTCCTCAGTGATCTGTGATCTGTAAGGGTCCGCCCGCAGGCGCATTTTGTATACCGAGGCGGTGCCCGGTGCCGAACCTGTCGGACCTTAAGACAGCGTTGTAGATCCCTGGGCGAGGGTGATGGAGGGGGGGGTCTGGCGGCGGAGCACCCACCTCCTCCCGCCACAACGACCCCTGGAATTGCGACTCGCCGCTTTCCTCCCGCTGTGATCCTGTGTGAGCTCTGTGTCTTGGTTTGCCAACAACATACCTAAAACCCACCTCCTCCCGGCGTGCCGATGTCATCCCCCCTGATCCAGACCGCCCCGTCGGGGGTAGACCGCTCGTCTAGCCAATCAGCCTTAAGCGAGCGGTCTGGCCGTTGGAATGGCCGGGGTTGGTGTGGACTTGCGTCCTCGCATCGATCGTGGTTACAAGTACAAGTAAGTAGCGTTATGAACAACAAGCACCACTCAGGGAGGCGGCTGTCCCTGAAGGCGAACCTCAGTTACGAGCCGCCCCCCCTACTTGCCTCCTCTTTGTTCCCTGGCTTTCTGTCTCTTGCGCGCCTGTCGTCCAAGCTGTGCCCCCCGCATCTCGCCTCCTCGCACCCACCCCGGTGGGGGGGCGCCTTCGTGCCTTTCGTCCCCTGCAGTGCGTGCGCGCTCCTCCCCGTACGGCATCGGCCTCCCGTCCTCTGTGTGCTGTTGGCTCGCCCCCTCTCCCTGACCCATTGAATCGCTACGTTCATTCTCAAAGCGCCCTCGCTTCCTCGGCGGCTGGGGCGCCTCGTCCTCTGGCTGTTCCTCTTCCACTGTAAATTCGTCGTCTGTCTGGCTGCCTTCGTTTGGATGGCCCGTTTCGGGTGGTTGCTCGCTCGGCCCTGGCTCTGTTGTGCGGTCGGGCATCTCTCCTCAGCTCTGAGGAGCCCCGGATTCAGTAGAAAATGGCTCGATGCAAAAAGCCAAAGTCGATCACTTCCCTTGCGTGGAGAGCCCTTGCCGCTCCGCTTCTTCTGCGTCTCGGCCCGCCCGCGTCAGAAACGAATGCTCGCGCTGATCGCCATCATGACCGTCGGGATAGAGCTACGTGACGCCAACGCGACACCTACAACGGTTGCTGTCGGTGACGTCGACATGACAGACGCAAGCGCAAACGCCATTCTCGAGTACGACACAGTGGCTCACATCTTCAAGCAGGCGGGTCAGCTCTTAATTTCTCGTCCGATGCGAGCTCTCTGACAAGAGCACTGGTACCACACCAAGAAACCGATGCCGTCCGTCATCCAATGGGATGGGACATCTGGCCTTCCTTTCAAGGAGTGGAGAAGGGCAATTCTCGACACTGGTGCGGAGCGGACCGACGAATCCGGCTCCAGCGTCGCGGATGTCTTCACTGGTGCGGACATGGGAGGAACCGCCGTCGGCGCTCCACCTCTGCCTGCTGGCACTGCGCAGCACGCACAGAAGATGCAGGCCCTGTACCGCACCCGCCGCAAGCAGGCCTACGCCCTCCTGGTCAAGAACATATCTTGCAAGGACATCAAGTTCCACCTTCGCGAGAATTTCTTCCAGCAGGGGGAGCAGGCGTGGCAGTACCTTTGCTCAATTGGGGACATGGAGCCGCAGCGCTCTGATGTCCGTGCGCACGATGCGGCGTGGGCAAAGATCAGCATCGGCGCCGACATTGGCATCAGTGGGTTCACTGTCACCAAGCTCCACAGCCACATTCGCCGCGTCAACGCCGAGCGCCCGCCTACTCACCGCCACGACGAGAGCGAGATCGCTGTTCGGCTCCTCGAGTGCATCAACGAGAACTCAAAGCTTTTCGGAGCCGAGAGCCTCTCCGAGATCAATAGCACCGGGCCTCACAACGGGTACTTCTGGATTGCTGGCACCGCTGCAGGCGTCGGTGGAGTCCCTCCTGCAGTCCCTGCCCGACGTGACCTCGCCAGACTCGTCGCGCACTATTCCACCCACTGGAAGAACGCCTTCGAGAACGGCCACCTCGGCCCGGAGCAGCTGCCGACTGCCAGTGGGAGGCGGGCCTCCTCTCAGAGCGTCGGGCTGTCAACCGAGGCGAAGGCTGCTGCCATGCACGTCGAGGCCATGCAAATGGAGCACATCCGCGACATTGTCCCGCGTGGCGCCGTCACCACCACCGCCTTCGGTTTCTTCGGCGGCGCTAACGTCGACCAGTGCGATTGCCCAGTCGTCCGTGACAGTGGCGCAAGCGACGATATCATCTACCTCGAGGATGGAAACGCTGTCGAGTCCGTCGAGATCGTCTGCCACAACTGCCGGGGCATCGGACACCCCGGACGCATGTGCCCTTCCGCCAAAAAGAACCGGTCGTTCGATTACGCGATCGCCCTTCTCGAGTCGAGCAAGGCGCGGGCCGACGCCAACTCGAGGCGGGCCGGGGACCCGTCCGGCGGCCGGCGCAGCTTTCAGCGCGGACAAAGGCCACCGTTCCGCACCGGACGGCAGCCAGTCGGCCGCTCCTCCGCGCCTCGCGGCCCGCCTACCGCCGACGCCCACGCCACCGGAGAGCTCGACGGAGAGCTCGCCGCAGAGATGACGCGCCCCGACATCAAGTACTTCTTCTCGAAGCTCGGCTCTTTCTCTCAGGCTTGCGGCGCCGTCCATCGTGACGCCATCATGACCGTCATCAACTATCTCAACGCCACAAAGCACCTCGGCATCACCTACGGCGGAAAGCTCAAGATCCCCTACGGACTCGACACTTTCCCGCCAGGCTTCATCGAGTCTCGTGGCCTCCACGCCTACCATGACGCCTCCTTCGGCAAGGCGCCACACTACGGCGGATGCGTCGTGATGTTCAACAACGGCGCCATCGACTGGAGCGCCAACAAGTCCAAGATCGAGGCTCTCAGCGTCGCCGAAGAGGAGACCGCCACCGCCTCCGTCGCCGCCAAGAAAGTCGTCTCCTGCCGGCTCATGCTCGAGCATGCTGGCCGAGCTGTCGCAGGCCCCACGCCCCAGCTCGGTGACTGCAAAGCCGTCTTTGACATCATCGTCAAGCCCGGCTCTACTGCTCGCACGCGCTACTACGAACGTGCCACCATGTTTGTCAAGCGCCTTTTCATGCTCCGCCATGTCGCGCCGTACCTCGTCGGCACTGCTTATATGATCGCCGACGTCTTCACCAAGACGCAGGCGACACGAGCTATGTTCTTCACCTGTCGCGACTACATGCTCAACGCCAGCAACGGCCCCGGCTTTGCTGTGACGCTCCAGGGGCAGGCTGCCCGGCTGTGGAGCAAGCTCGTCGCGACCGTCGGCAAGGCGTGAGACATCACCGCCTTCGCCGAAGACGCGCGAGTCGTCCGAGATAGTTGCCGATGCAACTAGGGGGGAGCGTTAGAGACGACTCTCTCTCTCCCAACTGTGAACAGTCGTTATCTGTATATGCGCAGCTATTCATAGCCGCGCCTGTTGTTTGTTTGTGTGTGTATCCGCGCTCTTGGCGCGATTACGAGAGTGACTAGTGTGTCGCACTAGTTGTACTTTTCGTAGTAGTATTCCGCATTCATTGCGAGGGCGGACCACTCCTAGCGTGCAGACCGCGGGAGCTGGTGCCGCGGCCAGTGTAGACCTGGCCTGCGCTGTGACGCGCGCGCTCATCTTCAACGTACCCATCCTGAGCCTTTATTTTGAGCCGCCGCATAGCCCTTATCACCTGGTCTGGTCATGACGATCATGCGACAATGTTTTGCCTTCGCCTTGGTTCTGTCCGCGTGCGAACGGATCGTCGCACGTCGCACAGGCAATTCATCCGCACTGAGGCGTGGGAACTGGCTCCGCGATGGCCACCGCAAGAAATACGGAGGTGCGTACGCCATACGTGACATTCGATGGGGCGCTTCGGCTGAGCTCATACGACTTGCGAACGAGCGCTCCTCCACGAAGAAGGACGTGTACCAGTTTGGCGTTTACACGGGCGGGTCGATGCAAGGGATTGTGCGAAATGTAAACGACTTCGGCCACCTGTACGGCTTTGACTCCTTCATCGGCCTGCCGGAGGAGGCTGCCGGCGTGAAGCTGGAGGGCCGGCACTGGAACACGGGCGCGTTCTCGTCAGCCGACGCCCTAGGGGCGTGGAGCACCGACGACCTTTTCTCGCGCCTGCGTCGGAAGATTGGGCGCGGGCCTGATTCTCTCACCTTTATTCAGGGGTTCTTCAACGACACGCTCAACGAATCCTTACTGCGGCTGCACCCGTTCCAGCCGGCCCTGCTGGTCGACATCGACGGCGATCTCTACGTGTCGGCCGTGCAGAGCATGGGGTGGATGCTGCGCAGCGGGCTCTTGGTGCCCGGCTCGCTCGTTCGATACGACGACTGGAAAGAGGACGAGGCGTGGGGCGAGGCGCGGGCACACAAGGAGCTGACGGCGGAGTACCAAGTCGAGTGGCGCACGATCTACCACGCGATGAACTCATACTTGGAGCTCGAGCTCGTCCGTTGCGGCGCTTGCCCGAGCGGGCCCCTCTTCTGATGTGTGATGAGCTGCGAGGGCCACAGAAGCCGTCCGCGCAGCAACCACTCGGTAGGAGACGAAGCCAAAGCTAGTACGATGGGGGACTCTAAGAGAAGGCACCCCTGCCTGGCTGGCCCTGCCAGCGTACTAACGTAAGAGGGCTCCCGCGCCACCCGCTACTGGCGTCTGGCGTACTCGGATTGTCGGTCTCGTCAGAACCCCATCGTACGATGGTGTTGCGAGCAGCGCAGTGTCTCTGTCGCGGTGTGGCCATGAAAAAGAATTTTACAAGAAAACTCCCTCGCACAACACTGGGCACGGGACTGGCGCGCACTGGCACTAACACAGGTACGCATGAAAAAGAATTTTACAACCCAACGCCCTCCACAACACTGCCCAGTGTGTTGAAAAAGAATTTTACAACAAAACTCCCTCGCACAACACTGGGCACGGGACTGGCGCGTGTTAGTGCCAGTGCACGCCAGTCCCGTGCCCAGTGTTGTGTGAAAAATAAAAAGAAATCCGTCTATTGGGGAGGGGGGAGGGCGCCCCCGACAGCTATTGTGACAAGCGATCCCACGACAGCGATTGTGACTGAAAAAGCGAAAAAATATCCCCGTGAAGCCGGTGGTGCGTGAAGAAGAGAGCTTTACATAGTCGCGATCTGCCGGCGTGCGTATGAGCTCACTAGCTAGAGCTCACACTAGAGGCCGTCATCGCATTCGCCTTCCTGGGACCCAGCGCTGACTTCTGACTGTGTTTGCTGTCTCTCCCTTCTCGACTGTAGTCTGTGCTTGTGCGTCTTGGGTCCCGGGGTCGGCTGAGGGCTGACAAGCTGCCGAGCCCAAATCACTGTGTATAGTCGTGATTTCTTGTTGGTTTTCTAAAATCTCTCTCTCTCCCGGGGTTGTGTTTTTGTGTGGAGGCGCTCGCCGCGTGTGGCGATTGAGCGCCTCCCTCTCTCTCCGGCCGTGCGCCTGACCGGTGCATAAAAACAAACTCTCTCTCGCTCTCCGGTGCGGCCTCCGAGTCGGCGTCTAGCGCGCGCGATAAGGTTTTTGCTCGCCTTCCCTGGGACCCCGTGTTGCGTGACTGTCACTGTGCGATTTCGGGCCCGGGGTTGAGCGTTTATGTTAGGTTAGGTTCCTCCATGCTCCGTTGTTAGGTTAGGTGAAGAACAGCCAGTTTATGTGAATCCCCTGGGCCTCCAGGGCTCGCACCTCAACCTCTCATCGACCAGCGCAAAGCGCCATAGGACGTATTTTCTTGTCAATAACAAGGTCTGTGAAGAGTCGAAAGAAGAGAAAAAAGCGGAACCAAGCAGCGGATGTTAGTCATTACAAGAAACAGGTAGGCTCTGGGGTGCTCTGGGGTGCTCTGGGACCGCTCGGGATCGCTCGGGACCGCTCGGGACCGCTCGGGACCGCTCGGGACCGCTCGGGACCGCTCGGGACCGCTCGGGACGGCTCGGGACCGCTCGGGACCGCTCGGGACCGCTCGGGACGGCTCGGGACCGCTCGGGACCGCTCGGCCTCGCTCGGGGGCGCGGCTGGGACATTTGCGGCCCGCCTCCGGCTGGCTGGGCGGCACGGCTGGGCGGCGCGGAGGTGCTGCTGTGTGAGAAGAAATGGTAAACAGTTCATGAGATTAGCAGCAATAACAGCAAAGCACTAAGGAAACTGCGCCGCAATGTGCGGCGGGCACACTGGCCACGGGCCAAACACATCATACCTAGGTCCCTTCATACGATCCTGGAGCCCAACCATGTCCCATGTGCGCCGCGATCTTCATGACCGCGGCAAGCAGGGTGAACGAGCCGCGCCACGTAGTGCACAGAGCCATACGGTTGTCCACTACCTGGCCAATGAGGTGCTCCACACGCCCACGGTAGTGCTGCACCGTCTTGTTGAACCGTTGTTTCTCGAGGGACAGGTTCCGGCCCTTCCATTCTGTGATGATCTGCCGCTGCCCGACGTAAGCCTTGCTTGTCCCCAAGACCATACTCCCATGGCTTGATCCGCGCCTGCAGGAAGCTGGCCCAAGCGCCGCGCCCCCGCCGGTCGAACTTTAGCATCTAGGCCGTTGGGACAGCTCGCTGCTCGGGACGGCTCGGGACGGCTCGGGACGGCTCGGGACGGCTCGGGACGGCTCGGGACGGCTCGGGTCCCTCGGGTCCCTCGGGACCGCTCGGGACGGCTCGGGACGGCTCGGGACGGCTCGGGACGGCTCGGGACGGCTCGGGACGGCTCGGGACGGCTCGGGACGGCTCGGGACGGCTCGGGACGGCTCGGGACGGCTCGGGACGGCTCGGGACGGCTCGGGACGGCTCGGGACGGCTCGGGACGGCTCGGGACGGCTCGGGACGGCTCGGGACGGCTCGGGACGGCTCGGGACGGCTCGGGACGGCTCGGGACGGCTCGGGACGGCTCGGGACGGCTCGGGACGGCTCGGGACGGCTCGGGACCCTCGGGACGGCTCGGGTCCCTCGGGTCCCTCGGGACGGCTCGGGACCGCTCGGGACCGCTCGGACACTTTCGAACATTGCTACTCCGTTGTGACCGTGCATGCATCCAGGAGTGCCAGAGACCCTTAGACACCATTGGCTTGGGATAACGGCGTGTTTCTTGTAAGACCACAGCGGACGTTTAAATTCTTGTAAGACCACAGCGGACACGGTCGGGGCAGCGCCTGCGTCGGAGGAGCTCGGCTAGTTAGGGTTGCGGTGCGGGATTGGATCACGATGCGTGCAATGCCACTCGCCGGAATAACTGCGGTGCGGAGGCTCTGCACAGCAGCGCGTCAGTACCCGCACACGGTGCAGCTGCAGACGCGATGGAACGACAACGACGCCTTTGGCCACGTCAACAACGTGTTCTACTACGCTTTCATGGACGACGCGGTCAACGCGCACCTCATCGCCAGCGGTGTCCAGCAGACGCGCTTCGTAGCAGAAAGCAGTTGCCGGTATCTGGCGCCGCTGCAGTACCCGCAGCCGGTGGAGGTGGGAATGGGCGTCACGAGGCTGGGCCGCTCCAGCGTGTCGTACGCCATCGGTATCTACAGCCACCCGGCGAATGCGATCGCTGGCGGCCCGACGTCGGGTGGGCGCGAGCTTTGTGCGACAGGCACATTCGTGCACGTGTATGTCGACGGCGCTGGGCGACCGACGCCGATGGCGGAGTGCACGAGAGCGGCGTTGGAAGCGATACGCATGGACGACGGGAGTGATGCGTGAGAGCTCCGGGAGGAGCAGATGAGTGCAATAAGTCAGCTCTGGACGCCCCTCCTCAAACCGCTCTCAACGAGAGCCACCAGAAGCCGCCCGCACCCGCACAGCAAGCCGATCGGTCGAACGGGCCTGCTCGCTCGATGTCGGCGAGCGCATGAGAACACGTTGTGGACGGTGGCGTAAGCCCAAAACACCGCCGGGCGAGCGTGAGCGGCGGCCAGAGTTGGGTGACCCAGATGGCTCACCCAAGGGACTTGGCCAAGCGCTAACCCGATAGCCGATAGCGCCCATTCTCCTGCCACCGCAGGATTCACACAAAAGCGCAGAATCCCGGACCCAAGACCCACCACATATCTTGTCATAAGATGAAACCTCCTATCCATATAGCCGAATCGTGCGGCCGCTAATGGTTCTATAAGTCAATCCAAGTTCCAACATGTACACATATGCCATCTGTGGAGAGTGTTTGAGAGAGAGAGAGAGAAAATTGCTTTAGAAGAAAAACGGGCGCATAGTCTCCCCCCTCCATTCTCTCCCCCTTGGCGCGCCTGTATCGCGTACTAGCTGTGGCTACCGTAGGCTAGGCTAGCGCTAGGGGCGCGGGGCGAATGAGCGGATGAACTTAGTGCGCGCCTTGGGGTGTCCGTCCCCCATGGTGGCTTGCGCAGGTGGTAGCCAGAGTCATTCTACGCCGACCTGCGCCAGAACGAGACGGAGGCGGTGGAACAGTGCGGTGATCCGGGGGGCGGGGCGGCGGACGCCGCCGCGGCGCGCGACTGTCCGCGATTGCGACACGTGCGCGCGGCGCTGAGCGCGCAGGCGCCGGCATCTCAGCTCGTCTATGAGCACTGGATGCGGCGATGGGAGAGCCCATCCAACCCCCTGCGGAGCATGCTCCGGCCTGCGGAGCATGCTCCGGCCTGCGGAGCATGCTCCGGCCTGCGGAGCGGCGCGTTGAGGGCGTCCCAATCAGGGTAGCAGGCTCTGAATTCGCCGGAGTAGTCTAGGTCTTATCTAGCGGTACCGTATAGAGCAAACCGCGCAGTTGGCGCGCGCCTGTGTGGAGCTTTCGTTGGCGTTTGTCTGGCGGGGCGGATGGACGACTTCACGAGCGGGTTAAGTGGTCAGTCCAACATGTATAGTGGACAACCCCCTTCAGACAATCGCTAGATGGCGCAAGCTCTTCCCACAGACCGGAGCCTATGCGTGCCTGTTCATGTTGTGCTCTTTTGGTCCGCGCGGCCCGGATCCCTTCAGGCAAGAAGATCACGCAAACGCTGTCCTTGCCTCTGAACAGCTGCGTCTCCCGGGTGAGCCTGCATAGCCCCTGCCACCGCCTCGGGAGCGCCCGTAATCACAGCTCGCTGCCTCCGCGCCCGCGCTGCGACGTGGCCGACGTCGCTGCCGTAGCACACGTCGAACAGCGCCCCGCAGCCATCCTGCTGCACGCCCGCATGCTGCGGGTGCGCCCGCAGCGCCGCCACAGCCACCTCGATGCCGCCCGCGCCTGCTGTGCGCTGCTTGCGTGCGAACGCTGCGGCGTCGGTGCCGAGACACACGTTGGCCATCGCCCGGCAGCCACGCTGCTGCACATCCGCCACCTGTGGGTGAGCCTGCAGCGCCGCCACGATCGCCTCGATGCCGCCCGCATCTGCTGCGCGCTGCTTGCGTGCGAGCGCTGCGGCGTCGGTGCCGGCGCACACGTTGCCCATCGCCAAACAGCCAATCTCCTGCACGCCCGCCACCTGCGGGTGCGCCTGCAGCGCCGCCACAGCCAACTCGATGCCGCCCGCGTCTGCTGTGCGGTGCTTGCGTGCGAACGCTGCAGCGTCGCTGCCGGAGCACACGTTGACCATCGCCAAACAGCCAATCCCCTGCACACGCGCCACCTGCGGGTGCGCCTGCATCGCTGCCACGATCAACTCGATGCCGCCTGCGTCTGCTGCGCGCTGCTTACGTGCGATTCCTGCGGCGTCTGCCGGCGCACACGTTGGCCATCGCCATGCAGCCACCCACCACCCTGCTGCACAACTGCCACCTGCGGGTGCGCCTGCAGCGCCGCCACGATCGCCTCGAGCGCGCCCGCGTCCGCCGCAGCTTGCCTGTTCTCCGCCTCAGCGCACAGATCAGCCAACCGCTCGCAAGCCGCAAGCGCGACGCGACTGACCGACCCGTGCGCCCGCAGCGCCGCCGCCGCCGCCGCCACGCCCATCGCCCGCACCTCCGCATCGCTCGGTGGCGCAGCGGCGGGGACATGAGCAGCAGAGCCGCTGCCGCCGCTCGGCGCAGCGAGCCGCTGCCGCTTGGGTGCCGGGCCGGCGCTCGCACTCCCCTCTGTCGAGTTCTTGCGCACGGCCGCCACCACCTCGGCCCCCATCTCCATCTCGACCTCGATCACGTACGCCAGGTACATCTGGCGCGACTCGTACACGACGTGTATGAAGGACGTTAGGGGTGATAAATTGCCTTTATTTTAAATTATACCGAAAGGAGGGCTACACGACGCCCTCTACGCTGGGGTGCCGGCGCCCTACTGGGCGCCCCCCGCTCCCTTCCCCTCAGAGCCCCCCATCCCACTAGCGGCATTCCCCCGCGGTCCCTCGCGGCCGCGTGACGCCGCACCAACCAATGGCGCGCTGTGCCTCGTCCGCGAGCGCCATCCAGAGCTGCACCGACAGTCGCTGCAGCGCAAACGGCATCCATTCGCGCGCCGACCACGACGTCTGGAGGTCGTACTGCCACACCATGTAAGCTTCCGGCCCGCCACCTCAGCCACCCGCATCAGCAGCCCCTCCACCCCCGCGCTCATTGCGCCGAACTCCTCGAAGAGCAGCGCCTCCACACGGCACTTCCCCTCTGCGTCCGTGTACTGGCCCTTGACAGCCTCGACCGCACCGGTCCCGTCCGCGGGTCCCACCTACCTCCCCACACCCTCCCGCCCGCCCCTGTCTGTCCCCGCCCTCCACGCCCAAAACCGTCTCGCGGGCGCGTGGCAGCGTGTTGCCGCAAGCGACGAACGCCCCCATGCGCCCCACCCCCGAGGGGTCCGATGGCACACCAGCATAGATCTTCGTGTCGCCGATGCAGGGCAGGTCCCCGATCAATCACCCCTGGTAAAGGTAAACTAAACACTAAACACGGGGAACCTCCCTCTAGTTCCCCGTGGTAAAGGTACCTTAGGTACAATCCGCCGCGCCTGTCTGGTATAGCCCCAGCCGACTCCGCGTGAACTCTCGAGGGATCTCGAGCTCCCAGCTGCTCGGTGTACGAACTCTGTTCACACCGAGTACCTGAGGTAGCTGGGAGTGGCTGCGGCTATAGCAGACAGCCGCCGCGCCATACTGCGAGCACTGCGCCGCGCCCAAGCTCGATGGCCTCCCACCGCATCGGCGCCCGCGTCGCGGGCCTCTCGCCAGCGCAGCTGTGCGCCATCATCGAGGCGCAGGCGGGCGCGAGCGACGCCGCGCTGCGCGTGGCGGAGGAGCACGCCGCACGGCTCGTGGAGCAGCCCGAGTCTGTCCTCTCCGTCCTCCTCTCGCCGGACCTCGCCCCGCACATCCTCGCCCAGCTGCCGACCACGGCGCACGCTGCCAAGGGGACGTGCCGCGCGTGGCGCCGCGGCTGGAAGGAGACGCTGAAGAAGCGCGAGAGGCCGCGCCTGCTCGTGTTTGGCGGCCAAGGCAGCGACTACGAGTTTGTCAACTCGCTGGAGCGGTACGACCCGTCTACGAATGAGTGGCAGGGGGAGGCTGTGGCACCGATGCCGACGGCACGAGTGGAAGCCGGCATGGCGGTGCTTGATGGCAAGCTCTACACGGCAGGCGGCCATAGTGAGGCTGACGGCGCAGCTTCCAGCTCGGTGGAGCGGTACGACTTTGAAACGAAAGCATGGGAGGCGGTGGCGCCGATGGCGGCGGCGCGGGAATCTCACGCCGTCACGGTGCTCGACGGTACGCTGTATGCTGTTGGCGGTTCCGACGACGACTCGGTGGAGAGGTATGACCCTGCGACAAACGCGTGGGAGGCGGTGGCGCCGATGACGGCAGCGCGGTGGGCTCACGGCATGGCGGTGCTGGACGGCAAGCTGTACGCTGTGGGAGGCTGCAACCACGGCATCCTCAGCTTGGTGGAGCGGTACGACCCCGCGACGAACGTGTGGACAGCGGTGGCGCCGATGGCGACAGCGCGGCACTCTCACGGTGTAGCGGTGCTCGACGGCAAGCTGTACGCTGTGGGCGGGTACGGCCACGGTGTCCGCCTCACCTCGGTCGAGCGGTACGACCCGGCGCTGGATGCGTGGGAGGAGGTGGCGCCGATGGCGGTCAAGCGGTTTGCTCCCGGCGTGGCGGTGCTCGACGGCAAGCTGTACGCTCTGGGCGGCTTTGGCGTCAGCTCGGTCGAGCGGTACAACCCCGCAGCAAACGCGTGGGAGGCGGTGGCGCCGATGGCGGCGGCCCGGGCCTGTCTCCTCTCGCTGTAGGGAGGGGGCTGTGGCGGAGTCCGAGGCGTGACCCCTGTACACGCGGCGAGTCGTCACAGTACTTGGGTCAAGACTCTCTGGGGCGGGGTCCCCGGCGTAATTAGTGGTTTCGCGCGCAGATCCCCTGACCGCTAGGAGCCGAAGCAGCATGTCAGCGCCCTCCAAAAACCTCACCATCACCATGTACCGCGAGCTGCTGCGAGGATCCGAGCGCCATCATGCGACCAGGCCACGTCGCGCACGCGGTCGTCGGCGAGGGTGCGCCCCGCGCGTACACCTACACGTCGCTTTGCCGCCGAGACGAGATCTCCGCGTCTCGCCGCAGCAGCGTCTCTCCACGGCGCCGCGTGCCTGCCTGAGCTAACGCGGTCGAGCTTCCGAGGGTGGGCAGACCAGCCGGAGCGGGCTGCGGGCCGGTCGGCAGCCGGCTCTCCGGCTTTGTGCGGCGCTGCGGCTCCTGTCGTCTCTCGAAGCGTGGATTGTGGAGAGTGAGCTCGCGACCGCCCTCCCCTGACGCCGCACGAAGGCCCCTCCAACCTCCGCCTCGCATCGCCTCTCAGACAATGTGCTCTACGACCGCGTCCAGAGCGAAGGGGCGGCGTGGCTGGATTTCGGCGACAGTGCGGCGGCGGTGGCCCCGCCGGCGCCTTGGGAGACGTGTGAGGCGGAGGAGGCAGCGTACGTCCTCGACTACAGCGCGTTCTACCGTGGATCGTCACTCATGGCAGCAGGCGGCGGCGCTTGAGGCGCCCCGGGCAGCTGGCGCGGGCCACTCGCGGGCCACACAGGCCTCTGCGCCGCGTGAGCGGCAGGAGCCGAGGGTTAGGCAGCATTGCATGGGGAGGTAGGGTCGCGGTCGGCAGCGCGAGCGCGCTCTCTCCGCGGCGAGGGGTGATATACGGCGAATATTCGGCGGCAGGGATCATATACGCACAATCATCAGACGGTGCCGGGGGTCGCAACGGTGCGTCCCTGAGACAAGCCGCTCCGCATGTGCAAGCTCTTCGAGTGTGCTACTTGGACGACGTTGACTTTGAGGAGGACGAGTCGCTTGTGTTCTTCAACGGGGACGGGGACCCTATGCCGCACTCCCGGCCAGCGCTTTACATGATCTGCTCAGACTTTTTTGGCTCTTACGTCACTGCACACACCCCGTTTCCATCCGGAAAGCTCACCGGCCTCTTCTACGCCACAGGGTATGATGATGCCGGCATCATGAACACCAAACAGACCTTGACCTCCCTCGAGCACTGCGTAACCTGGGATCGCTCTTCCTGGGCATAGGGGACGGGCGGGCGGCGCGGCGCTACGGATATTTGTTTTTATTGGTACGGTACAACGCCATGCATGCTTGGGAGCATCATGCTCAAATACCCACCACCGGTGACGCGTGAGCCGTGTGATGTTAAAACCCACACGGGGTCTTTCACTAGGTCTCACAGCTGTCAGAGCTCTCTCCGCTCGCTCTCTCAGACAGCCTCTCAGACACACCTGGCCGCGCTCTGTCCGCTGACCTCTCACCACCGGCTCAGGGACACGACCACGCCACGTTTTCGTGATAACACACCACATGCACATGCACATGTGCATGTCCATGTCGCATGTGCGTGGGGAGACCCTCTCACTCCGACACTCGCCCAGTTTAGCGCTCGCCTCCGCCAGGTGAGTCACGTCCATCCACACAAGGCTGGGAGTTTACCGAGTGTAAGTCGATGAAGAGTTGGAGAGGGGGGGCGATACTGCTTCTGCAGCGTGCACCTCGACCCTGTACCGTGTTTGTTATGACCCCCCAAAATGAACACACCAGCGAGGGAGGGCGAGACGATCGAGGGGTCCCCTACCATGCGGAATCGACCCAAGTGCTCAAGTAGTCATCTCGGCGGTACGGCTCTAAGCCGTTGGACATTAATTTTGCCAGACATAGGCATACTTCCCGGATCCCGCGTCTTTGCTCGCTGTCCAGTTTCGCGTCCTTGGAGCACTGGAGTCAAGAACTTGTTGGTCTTTAAAAATCTCTCTCTGGAGTCCTTTAATCAGCGATTTTACCGAGTAGTCATCTCGCGGCACATACGGACGGCAACACTTGCCGCTCGCCCCCACCCCCCCCTCTCCTCGACTACGTTCACTTCCTACATACATACTTTTGCTCGCTGTCACAAAGAAACACCAGCAAAAAAGAAAACAGTCCAAAGGCCTCTGTGAATGCCAGCGCACAGCGCCATAAAAGGTATTTTCTTCTCAATACTGCACGTTCTAGGCCTCCGCCGCGGCCGACTCTTGCGTGGGGCCGCCGTGACCCGGGCCTGCAGCTGCTGCGCAGCGTGCTGCGAAGGTTGCTGCTCAGGTCGTCGCTAACACTGCACGCTTACGCTGCACGCCAGAGGGCCACGTCCACAAATGCTGGCTCGGCGCACCGTCGTCTGGCGGCTGGCAGCAGCCGCTGGGCCTCGGTGCCGCGCACACAGCAGCACGCGGCGACGCGTCGCTCGCCGTCATGGGCCTGAGCCATGGCGCATCGCCAACCGAGGTCAAGCTGCGCTTCTACGAGCTGGCGAAGCTCACCCACCCTGACGCCGTGCGGGACGCGCCTCCTACGGCGGGCCAGCCCACATTCGTCGAGGTGCTCTCGGCCTTCGAAGTGCTCGTGGCGGAGGAGGCGGCGGCGGCGGCCAGTGCGGGCGCGACCGCGCCGAACGCCGCGGCGCGGGGCGGCGCCGGTCCGGCGCGCCGCACGAGCCGGGCGGCCGCGGCGCGTCGCAAGAAGACGCTGTCCGAGGTGCTGTGCGAGCGCCTCGAGGAGGAGCCGTCGGCGGCGATGGCTGTCTGGACGGACCTCAAGCAGCGAGGAGGAGTCGGGGAGGGCGACCTTCTCCAAGTCGTCAACACGCCCGGCGGCTCCGGCAAGACTTTAGCCTTGGCCACCCTCCTTGCGGAGCAGGAGGAGATCCGCTCTCGGTCGGCAACGTGGCAGCTAGTCGAGGGACTCGGTGGTTGTGACCCCCCTGAGTGAGGACAGGAGAGAGAGAGCTTTTGTGGTGTTGGTGTACGCAATAACGGGACAGGGTGTCGTTCTCTCTAGCTCCCCTTCTAGCTCTTAGCATGAGCTGCGCCCTGTGTCCGACCCCTTTTGCGCAGCAACACCTTAAACTTTTAGGCCCTCCAAATTCGGGTCGGAGCGTAGCGGAGTGGGCCCTGAGTTTGAAAAGGGCGACGGACGCTTGCGTCCTAGCCTCCAACAACGCCTCCCCGGCGCAGAGGGGCCCCCGGAGGGATGCTCAACCGCTCCACGCCACGCCGCTTGCGGCGGTCCTATTCCCAGCTCCGCGACGGTTCTTTGCCGCACAGTTTTCTTTCCTGCTTCGTGCCAAATGTCGGACGAGCTACCAGATCTGCCCCACGAGCTCATCCAGGCCGTGGCTCGCCAGCTGTGCACGGCCGCAGGTCGCGCCGCGATGGTCAGGACCTGCAGCGCATGGAGCACCGCCGTGCTCTCTGACGCTGTTCTGTGGAGGGCCATCGCGCTGCGGGCGTATCCGCGACTCATCGGGCTCGCCGAGAAGGTGCCCAACCGCCCGTGGGCCGAGCTTTACCGCGCGCACCGCGAGATGACCACCGAGTCGCCACCCGACACTGCAGACAGAACGCGGCTCGAGGATTACGTGCTCACCTACGAGTTGGCGGTGGACTCCAAAGTCATCGCCTCGTGGAGTGGCTCGCTGGAGTATGGCACCGGTGAGGAGGAGACCACGGTCACCATCCAGCTGCCCCCTGACCTCTCTCAGCTCGACGATAAGGAACTGACTCCAGGCTTCATGGCAGCAACGAGCTTGCGGGAGCGCCAGGAACAAGGCGTGCGCCTCAGCGGTGTCGCAACACGGTGCGTCCCCGACAAGCCGCTCCGCATGTGCAAGCTCTTCGAGTGCTACTTGGACGACGTTGACTTTGAGGAGGACGAGTCGCTTGTGTTCTTCAACGGGGACGGGGACCCTATGCCGCACTCCCGACCAGCGCTTTACATGATCTGCTCAGACTTTTTTGGCTCTTACGTCACTGCACACCCCGTGCTTCATTTTCCATCCGGAAAGCTCACCGGCCTCTTCTACGCCACAGGGTATGATGATGCCTGCATCATGAACACCAAACAGACCTTGACCTTCCTCGAGCACTGCGTAACCTGGGATCGCTCTTCCAGGGCATAGGGGACGGGCGGGCGGCGCGGCGCTACGGATATTTGTTTTTATTGGTACGGTACAACGCCATGCATGCTTGGGAGCATCATGCTCAAATACCCACCACCGGTGACGCGTGAGCCGTGTGATGCCAAAACCCGCCCGGGTTCTTTCACTAGAGGTCTCACAGCTGTCAGAGCTCTCTCCGCTCGCTCTCTCAGACAGCCTCTCAGACACACCTGCCGCGCTGTCCGCTGACCTCTCACCACCGGCTCAGGGACACGACCACGTCACGTGTGTTTTCGTGATAACACACCATGTCCATGTGCGTGGGGAGACCCTCTCACTCCGACACTCGCCCAGTTTAGCGCTCGCCTCCGCCAGGTGAGTCACGTCCACACTCCGCAAGCGGCTGGGAGTTTACCGAGTGTAAGTCGATGAAGAGTTGGAGAGGGGGGGCGATACTGCTTCTGCAGCGTGCACCTCGACCCTGTACCGTGTTTGTTATGACCCCCCAAAATGAACACACCAGCGAGGGAGGGCGAGACCACTACCATGCGGAATCGACCCTTATCCAGTGCGCTCAAGTGCTCAAGTAGTCATCTCGGCGGTACGGCTCTAAGCCGTTGGACATTAATTTTGCAAGACATTAGGCATACTTCCCGCGTCTTTGCTCGCTGTCCAGTTTCGCGTCCTTGGAGCTGGAGTCCTTTAACAGCGATTTTACCGAGTAGTCATCTCGCGGCAATACGGCAACACTTGCCGCTCGCCCCCCCCCCCCCCCCCCTCTCCTCGACTACGTTCACTTCCTACATACATACTTTTGCTCGCTGTCCCAAAACAAGGATCTTCTCAATAACCCGGCTGTGAATTCTTGCAGCCCGCGCCATGGCGGTGGCAGCGGACGCTCTTGTCCAGTACCTCTCCTCGTTGCCGCCTGTCAACCTCGACCGGCTGTACGCGGATTCATGGGTCTGCCACGCCCTCCTCCGCGCTCTGCCGCCGCTCGCCCGGCTCTACGTGGTCCGGCTCGCGGCGGCGCACGGCAGTCTGCCAAAGGCCCTCGTCGACTCGTGGCCCGCACGCGTGCGCGAGGCGGCGAAGCGGCACGAGGAGTCGATGCAGCAGCTGCACCTGCTCCGCCTCGTGCACCGCGTGCCCGCCGCGGGCTCCGGGCAAGAGCAGCTGCGGCTGCACGAGGCGTTTGGCGCAGCGATGCTCGACTCACTGGGGCAGGGCCCGCCGGGCCTCGCAGACGATGCGAGCGCGAGGCACGGCAAGGACAAGAACATGGTCGGCGCCGACGAGCTCGAGCGGATGGGCGCCGCCAAGTGGGAGAGGCTGATGTCGCGTGTCATCTCGCCACCGGACAGGCCGATCCCGCTCGCCATTGCCTCTCAGATCGAGGCGGCGGAGGCGGCGGAGGGGAGCGCCGCCGGCGCCGCCGGGGCGTCGCTGCAGGAGCTGCTCGAGGCGGCCGGCCTCATCGAGGCTCGCAACGGCGCCGAGGACGAGGGCGGGGCGGGCGGCGGGGACGGGCTTGGCAGTGCGGACGGCCTCGCTCCGGCGCAGCAGCAGCGGCGGTGGCGGACGAGCCGCGAGGGGAAGCGGTACCTGCTCGAGTCGCTGCTCTCGCAGGTGTGGAAGGTCCTCCTCGCGTACGTGAGCCTCTGCCGCCGCGTCTCGCCTGCCGCCCACGACGCCGCCCTCTCGCTCGCCCTCCGGCTGCCGCTGCTGCCCGCCGCCACCGACTACCCGTCCGACGACCTCTCCGAGCTGCAGAGGAGGGCGCTCACCGACTTCGCCGAGCTGCTCGGCATCGCTTTCCAGCGGAAGCCCAACTCGAGGCGCTTTTACGCCACGCCGCACGCCGCCTCCCTCCTAGCAGCCTTCGACAGCGCCGCCGCCGCCGCCGCCTCTGCCTCGCCCTCGCCCGGCCCCGCGGGCGCCTCCGCGGCGCGCGGGCTCGAGGGCGGCTGGCTGATCATCGAGACCAATTTCCGGCTGTACGCGCACTCGTCGTCCGAGCTGCGCGCGCGCGTGCTGCGCTCCTTCGCCCTGCTCAGCTACCAGCTGCCCGGCCTCATCGTCGGCTCACTCACCCGCACCTCGATCCAGCACGCGGTCGACTCGGGCGTCGACGCGGCCGCGATCGTGGCCTACCTCGAGCGGAACGCGCACCCGCTCATGGCAGCGCAGACGCCGGTGCTGCCGGAGACGGTCGTCAACCAGATCCACCTGTGGGCCAAGGAGCGCTCGCGCATGGCCGCCGACAGGTGCAAGCTCTACGACGCATTCGACTCGCTCCGCCGCTTCGACGAGGCGTGCACCTACGCGCGCGAGATCGGAGCGCACCTTTGGTCGCGCCGCTTTCCGGAGGAGCGCAATCTGCACAAGTGCTCGCTCGCTGTCCGCGCCGAGGCGCACGGCAGCATGAAGAGCTTCCTCAGGGCGGCAGCCTGACAGTCAGGGCCAGCGCCTTCGCACGTAAACCCGATTTTAGAGTACGCTGAGCCGCGTATAAGTTCGCGCGCAATTTTGTACGTGGTAGAGAAGTAACATATGGAGGCTGCCAGCGCGCTCGAGAATCGCGGGGGGCGGGGGACACTCACCGTGATCCATGCGTCACCCCTCACCCGCCCCGGCGAGCGAGCACACACCACATTATTGCCGAGCGTCGCCGACCACCCACACCCCCTGCGCCTCTGACCCACTGCAGTTAGGTGCTGTGAGCCCCTGGCTTCGGCGTCTGAAGCTCTACTTGGAACCTTCCCGGGATCTAACCCATTGGCCTATACCACCGCACAGGCCCCTATACCGCCAGCGTGCTCGATCTTTACCGGTATGGGAGTTTTTGGCTAATCAAACCCAAGGCCTGCACTAATCAAAAAGTGGTACGGGATACCAGTTGCCTCACGGAAATCAAAGCGAGTCGGAGTGCCTTCTTGGTGGCAAAATCGGCAAAATCGGCAAAATACCGGGTATTTTGCGGGTATACCTGGACTTTTGCATGGTTTCGCCCCCGGGACCACACCGACAGCCGCTACAACTAATGAAAACCCCGCATACCACTTTCGCGTACCACTGTACCATACCACTCCAAAACTAATCAAAATATCGCCAAATACCGGTCTCATACCGGTAAAGATCGAGCACTGTATACCGCGCAGCCCACCGCACAGCCACAGGCCCACCGCAGCCTCGCACCGCGCGTGGAGGGTTGACTGGAAAGAGTTCTTGTGTATATTGACCCCAAAACTTGACTGCACACGAAACAGTCGTTGTAGCACAGAGGCGCTCGCGTGGCTCATTCATGGCTCATGGGAGAGAGGCGTCCTGGAGCGGCGAGGCGTCTCACTCTCGCCTCTCAGGCGGAGGACAGCCACTGGCGGATGACGACCGAACTCGGCAGAGCGTGCGGCGCCACGTCGTGCTCTAGCTCGAGCCGCACAAGCTGAACCACTTTGTCCAATGTCGTCGCCTCCTTCAGATGTGCTGCCAGGAAGCGGGCGCAACGGCGGGCGCGGAGGCTCGGCTCGACGACGGGGCTAGCGGCGTCTGCTCCGCTGCAGAGATCATCCAGCAGGACCCAAGCGATGGTGTTTGCGAGCACCGACTGGCGCGCCTTCTCCTCGGCCTCGTTGTCGCCGCCGCTCATGCGCTCGAAGAAGGCTTGCAGCGCCGGCAGGACCGGCCACGCCTTCTCCGCCTTGCTGGTCGACCTGGCTCCGGCGTTGGAGCCCCTCGCTCGGCCCTTCCCGCGGCCTGTCGCACCGGCGGGCGGCTCTGCGACGGCGTCTTCGACGGTCGTGTAGCGGTAGGCCAGCGCCGCCACGAGCCCCTCAGGCGTCGCTGGCTCGTCTTGCAAGCTCGGGAGCAGCCGCCCCGGCACCGAGCAGTGCAGTGGCAGCTTGGCGAGGCCGAGAGCGGCTATCGCTTGAAGCTCGACACTCGGCGCGTGCAGCAGGGTCGGCAGCCACGCGATGGCGTCGGCCAGCTGCAGCCTCGCCGCCTCGGGCGCGCCGTCCGCGGGAGAGTCGGCGAGGGCAAACGTGGCGTCCAGCATCGCGGCCAGAGCCAGGTGGCGGACCGGAGGCTCCTCGAGGTAGACAGCGGTTTGGAGGACGGGCAGCAGGCTGGCGAGCCCGTGAGGGGAGGCGACAACCAGATCGCGGACCAGGGTGAGTGCGGAGGCGCGCTCCTCCGTCCTGCGTGCCAGCCCATCCCGAACGGCCTCGCGGGTGGTGGGCATGGCGGCGACCGTGAGGGCGCCCGCCGCGTCGACCACGCCGACTGCTGCGTGGAGAAGGCCAAGTGCAGGGCAGTCGACTTGGCCCGGCAGGGCGTGCTTGCACCACTCGTCAAAGTCGTGACCGCACGCCTGCTTGAGAGCCGCTGCCGCCTCGCCGAGAGTCGACTTGGAGGCGTGGCGCGAGTGGAGGACCCTCGCCAGGAGCGGCCGCAGCCGCTCGCCGCTCCGCCCTTGTTCTTGCTCCGCGTCGGCGTGGCCGCTACCTGCGCCCATGCCGAGCCTCACGAGCGAGCGGAGCACCAGGCAGAGCTCGCCGAGACCTGATGGACTCGACCAGCACTTTGCAAGCCCGGACTCTGGCGCGTCTGCGAGCGCGAGGGCGAGATCGCCGGCGCGCGCGGCGCGCTCCCACGCGCCCTCCTTGACGAGCGCGTCGAGCTTGAGCCGGCAGATCAGTAGCTGCTCCACCGAGGTTGCCAGAGCGGCGGGCTGCATTTGATTTTGCTCGTCCACACAAACGAGGTTCCGGGGCTTGCTCTGAGCAGAGCCGCCAACAACAAAAAATGCGCGCTTCCCCAGCTCCCCGGCCATGGACGTGAGGTTGCCGACTGCACTCCAAGTGCTCCAAGTGCGCGCGAAACGCGATGCTCAGGTCCTCAGGAGCCTTCGCCAGGCAGGTCGTGTGAAGAGCAGCGATGCCGTAGTGAGTGAGTGGTCCCGGGCCCTGCGGGGAACTAAGTAAGTCGACGCAAGTTAGCCTGTGAGCTGCACGAGGCCTAGTGGTGCGCCGAGGCAGGTCAAGTGCTCCGACCCGGGAGTCGTGGTCGGAGGCCGGGACACTACGCGCACTAACTTAGTGTGCGAAAGTGAATGCCTCCGGCCTTAGTGCGCGGAAGTGGGTGCCTCGGGCCGGCCGAGAGCTGGGGAGTGGTCCGGCGGTCCGCTCGTAGAGGCGAGCCCGGCTACTACGCGCACTAACTTAGTGTGCGGAAGTGAGTGGGCCGCCAGCGTGCGGGCTAAGTGGGTGAGTGCCTCCCGCCACCCCGCCCATTAAGTTAGTGCGCGTAGAGTGGGTGGGCCGCCTTCTAGTGGTCGGCGAGGCCGTGGCCAGTGCCCCGGCCCTGCGGCGCCGCCCTAGTGAGTGAGTGCTCGCCGACCCTCCCCGCACTTTGAAGTCGGCATCGCTGTTGTGTCCAAGACCTGGCGAAGGGCTCCTGAGAAGCTCCAGTTTAGGACTAAACGTGGAGCGGCAAAGTTGTGGAGCACTTGAGTCTGCTCATCACACATAAAGAGATTTTTTAGCTCCGTGTCGACGGCACGTACACCACCGCCCTCTCCTCCGACACCCTCCAGGACGAGCTCCAGCGGAAGCTCGGCCTTTGGCTCTCCGCGGCGCTTCCCACCCTTTGGGTCGCGCTCGAGCGGGGCATGCCAGTCGATTTCTTCGGCGACTACCTTTACAACAAGGCCCCCACCGGCGTCCTCGCCGCCTGGGCGGACGCGATGCGCGCCCCGGCCAACGCGCCGGTCGTGCACGGTGACAAGGAGAAACCAGAGCTCACCCGGCAGTACAATGAGGGGTACAAGACCGACCTCGCAGAGCCCAACGCTGCGCCCCCGGGAGGCGCCGATGAAGTAGATGAAGTCAAGCTCTGGACGCCCCTCCTTGTATAAGACCTCCTCGACGGGCGTTGGCAACGCAGCCCGGCCAACCCTTCTCCCACAAGACCGGCCACGGCTACGTCAAGGCGCATCGCGGTTTCTACCACGACGCGATCTTTGTCAAGCGCAACAACTTCAACCTGCTGCTCCACGAGACGTTCGGCGGCGGCTTCTCGCCCACCGCCGGTTCTCAAGCTGCGCCGCCTCGCGCGCAAAGTCGCGCACGGCAGCGTTGACTGCACGGCCTATACTCGCCCAAGTACTCGCTCCGTCTTTTTTATGTCCCACCATGCAGAGCGCATTTCTCTCTCTGTTGTGCGAGGCGTGAACCGCGCCATTCGCTCTCACCTGGCAACCCTGTCTGCACGTCTCGCGTTCGCGTGAACAGGGCTCCATCCAGGCCCCTAATGTGTGTGAGTGTATAGATAGAGTTGTTGTTTGTTGTTTGTTGCACACATCAGGCTCCGATCAGCATCGAGCGCCGCGCGGGGCTAAAGCGCAACAAAAATAAAATTCACCTTTGATGTATCGGGAAGAAAGAGAGAAGTGTCCGCGGCTGATTGATCTCGGAGACTCATAAATAAATAAATAGAGCAGACAACCCCTGGTGGGATTAGTAGGGCAGCAACCCGACGGGCAGACCCCGCCCCGCTCGGAGGGCGTGCACCACACAGCACACGTTACATCGATTTTCTCGAAGTTGTCGAAAGAAGTCTGCCCGGGCCCCCGGCGCTTCCCAGGACAATGCTCTCCGGCGCTGTGCTCACCTTGCTGGCCGCGTCGGCCGCGAAGAAGGCCGCGGGCGGTGGCGGGTGCGAGGTCACCTCGACGTGGCCGGATGGGCGCGTGGAGCAGCGTCAGTGCGTGGTGCAGGCCGTCTCGGACAGGCCCGGTGCACGCGGCCGCTTTGAGAGCTGCACGGCCTGAAAGCTGGACGAGGAGCACAACGCGAGGCGCGGACGCGCGCGCCGCCTCGTCTCGGCCGGGCACGCGCCTCGATCCCTCACGGCGTCTCGCTCGCCCGTAGGCTCCGGCGATACCTGAAGCAGGACGAGGGGTGGAAGGAGTGGGAGGGCCTGGAGATGCAGTGGATCAGGCACCACAACCCCGACCTGGTCGTCCTCGACGACAACGGGCGCGAAAAGGCGAGGGTCGACCTGAACGGCTACGATGGGCCGCGGGTGGAGGCGCTGCTCGAGAAGCACGGCTTCAAGCGCAAGTAAGCCTTTGCCAGGCGCTGCTGTTTTACCTGCGCACGGCTACCCGGCACCATGACGCCATCGCCGCCAACCGCCCAACACTGGGCGTGCGCGAGGGCCGATGCCACCGGGTTCGTGCACAGGGTTCAGGGCAGCATTTCTTGAGATATTAAATTCATATTAGAGAGATCAGTACAGTTGATTTTGGCGCGACCGATCGCCTCCACGCGCCCGCAAGAGATGTGCCCGCGCTCTCTTTGATACGGCTCTCCTCTCATGTGCACACGCGAGTCGCTCTACGCGACGGCGACCCCCGTGCCCGACCGCGGCGCGAACACGCGAATCCGCAGTTGACGACACGCAAGGCGCCGGAACGCGGAAGATGCAGATGAGAGATGTGCCCCGGCCGGGCGACTGCAAGCGTCCGGCCCCTCTCTGTACAGAATGCACGGCCCTCTCCTGCTCCCCGCCCTCCAAGCCTTCCACCCCCAACGGGGGTAACCGTATGCGAGCGGCAGCGATCGCTCCGCCGGACACCTCAGTCGTACAGGTCCTCCGCCTCCTCGTCGCTGGCCTCCGGCGCCGCCGGCTCTGCAGGCGCCGCCGCCTCCGCCAGCGGCGCCGCGTCCTTCTTCTTTGTGTCGGTGGCCTGGTCCTTGCGGAACTTGTTGTAGCGCGCGAGCTCGGCCTTGGAGACGGAGCGGCGCGCATTCTTCATCGCCTCGGCAAAGTGCTTTGCGGAGAGCATCCCGTCGCTGCGCACCTCGGGCAGGGGCTTGCCCGCCGCCTCGGCCTCCGCCTCGGCAGCCTGCTGCTCGTCAATCTCGTGCCGGATGGCGAGCTTGCACGCGCGCTGGCAGATCTCGGTCAGGTCGGCGCCGGAGAAGTGCTCGGTCGAGTTGGCGAGGCCCTCGAGGTCGACGTCGTCGGCGAGCGGCGACTGAGAGGGGAGAGGGGAGAGCGGCGATGTGGGCGGCGTGCGGGAGGGAGGGGTCGGGGCGGTGACGGTGCTGCGGCGTGGGAGAGCCGCGGCTCGGCGGCGCGTGCGTGCGAGAGCAGACGGCTCGCGCGCCTTGCGCAGCGTCGCGCGCAGGATGGAGAGGCGCGACTCGTAGTCGGGCATCGGGATGTAGATGAGCTGGTCCAGCCGGCCGGGGCGCATGATCGCGGGGTCGAGGATGTCGGGCCGGTTGGTGGCGCCAATCACAAAGACCGACTTGCGCGCGCCGACGCCGTCGATCTCGGTCAGGATCTGGTTGATGACGCGGTCGCCCGCCTCGGAGGCGCCGCCGCCGCCCGAGCCGCGCGCCTTAGCGATCGAGTCCATCTCGTCGAAGAAGATGACGCAGGGCGACGCCTGCCGCGCCTTGTCGAAGAGCTCGCGCACGTTCGCCTCCGACTCGCCAAACCACATCGTGAGGAGCTCGGGCCCCTTGACCGAGATGAAGTTGGCCTTGCACTCGTTGGCGACCGCCTTTGCGAGCAGCGTCTTGCCGCAGCCGGGCGGGCCGTAGAAGAGCACCCCCTTGGAGGGGTCCATCCCGAAGTGCTCGAACTTGGACGCGTACTGCACCGGGTACTGCACCGTCTCGCGCAGCTCGCGCTTCACCCCCTCGAGTCCGCCTGCGGAGTGCGCGCGCGGCCGGGTGTCGCTGCCCGCCGCTGTGTCGCTGCCCGCAGGGGGAGAGGCAACGGGGCTCTGACGGCGGCGCACCGATGTCCTTCCACGAGACGTTTGGCACCTCGATGGCGGACTCGCGCAGCGTGGACGGGTTGGTGACCGACAGGGCCTGCTCGAGAGAGGGGGAGAGATGGGGAGAGAGACGGGGAGAGAGATGGGGTTTGGGACCGGCAGGGCCTGCTCGACGTGGCGCGGCTGCACGACGAGCTGCTCGAGGAGGGCGGGCGGCAGCGTGTCCGCCTCGAGGTCGATCTCGGGCATGCGCTCGCGCACGCACATCATCGCCGCCTCAAAGACGACCTGCGGGAGGAGGAGGCGGCGGAGGCGGCGGAGGCGGCGGAGGCGGTGGAGGCGGTGGAGGCGGTGGAGGCGGGGG